GAGGATCGTGAGTTCAAAGCCAGCCTCAGCGACAGCGAGGCGCTAAGCAACTCAGTGAGACCCTGTCTCTAAATAAAGCACAGAACAGGGCTGGGGACGTGGCTCCGTGGTCAAGTGCCCTGAGTCAATCCCTGGTACCAAACAAACAAACAGAAAACAAAATCCAAAATGAGAATCCTCCCAGGTGCGAATGGAGATCTGTCTATCTTGTTGGTACTTGTTTGACAAGTCCACAGACATTCATTAATTAAAGTAGACCTTAATTAAAACATTAATCTGTTTTTGTTGATGCTGACAAGCACCCCATTGTCTAAATACTTAAACATAAAAACATTAATTAAAGAAGACGCTCCGTGGTGAGCGCTTGGTCCATGGCTAGGGCACTGCGCGCTAGTGGATCTGAACGCAAAGACCCACACGGAAAGCCGGAAGGAGAGACGGCCTTTTGGATAGAGAAACGCTCTTCGAGAGGGTTTATAAACTACGAGTCATAAAAGGAACGGGAAAAATCAACTGGATTCACCCAAACTAAAAACATCTGCTTCATCTAAATGTGTCCTTAAGAAAATGATTCTGCAAGCCATGGGCCGGTGGGAAATGTTGCAAAGTATATATCTGCCCGAGGACCTGCATCCAGAACATAGAAAGAATTCTTACAACTGGGTCATAAAAAGATCAACCATCCAATAAAAAGAGACTTGCAGGGACACTTCACGTGACAACATGCACAACTGGCCGTAGACATCTGGCAAAGTTCTCACGCTGTAAGTCATTAGAGAAATGCTAACTAAGTGGGCTGTGTCCCCCACCCCCTGTACCAGCCAGAATCAAAACAGCGCCCCCAGCAACGCGGGCAGGATGGGAGGGGCTGGGACTCTCCCACGTGGGTGGGGAAATAGAAAACGGCATGATGTCACTGGTCACTGGAAATCAGTTTGGTGACTTCTCCAGAAGTTCAATATTCATCTATCTACCTGGTGTCCCCGCTGTTGGACTCCTGGGTATTTATCCAAGAGAAATGAAAACAAATGTCCATAAAAAGCTCTGAATAGAAATGTTATAATAAACGCCAATTGGAAAGAGTCCAAATATTTATCTATAGGAAGATGGATAAAAGGCTGGGCTACATTTAGATAATGGGAGACTTTTCAGCATCAACAAAAACAGAATTTTTTTTAAAAAGGGATTCATTCAATAACATAGGTGAATATCAAAAAGATTTGCTGAGCTGGGCGTGGTCACACATGCCTGTCATCCCAGTGGCTTGGGAGGCTGAGGCAGGAGGATCATAAGTTTGAGGCCAGCCTCAGTAAGTTAGTGAGGCCCAAAGCAACTCAGGGAGATCCTGTCTCTAAATAAAATATAAAAAGGGCTGGGGATGTGGCTCAGGGGTTAAGTGCCCCTGCGTTCAATCCCTCATGTAAAAGTAAGCTTTGCTGAATAAAAGAAATCTACCCTCAAAGTACAGTTTGCATGATCCTCTTTGTAGAAAAATTTAGAAGAGGCAAAATTCACCGATGATGGAAAAGCCCGGCAGTGCTTGCTTGTGAAGGGCAGGGGAGGGAGGGTTTGCCTGGGAAGGAACATGAGCCAGAACTCCTAGGATGATCAGAAATGATCTGTCCTGACATGACTTTGTCAAAACAGACTGATTGGCACATTTGAGATCCGAGGATTTCCCTGTCTATAAAATAGACCTTAACAACAAAAAGAGACGTGTAGGTCATTCGTATTAATATTGCCACCGTTGGTTTATGTGCTCCAGGCACTTAAGGTCTTCTCTTGAAAGTGCCACAGAGGCAGGACTGTCTCTCTTGCCCCTTCTTGGCTCCGTGGTGAGCAGCACCATGCCTGGCACATAATAGTTCCTCAATAAACGTTTGTTGAATGAATTCTCAATTGATGAGGTAAAGGGGTATCTGAAGAGGAGCAGGAGTGAAAGAAAGTCCTGGCTTCAAAACAGCTGGGTTGGGAGAGATGCAGCCCTGGTATTTACGGCCTCCGGCATCTCTGTTCTGGTTTGCTGGGCAACTGGGGCTTGGTTAACACTCCTATCTATGTATTTACAAGACAGCCCAGAGGCTTCTCAGGATGAATTCAGCATCTCTGAGAAATCATTTGCTTTTAGAAAAGAAGTTATAAATATTCCCTGCCTGGCTGAACAGAATGGCTCCACTGGGTCCCCCAAAATCAGTCCTTAAAAGCATCATTTTACTTACACAGGAAAACGCGCCAGGGGAGGTGGGGATGGGTCCTGGGAAAGGAAGGGCACTGATGGGCAGGATGGAGCACAGACCGCGCCCAGCCCGGCCGGGGCTCAGACCCTGCACATGCACTGTGTCCTTTATTCGTCCTGACGCTGCTTACAGGGTCACTGTCCATGTTCCCCAGATGAGAACCGAGTCTTGGAGAAGCTGCAGAGAGAGGGGCAGGACGTGCCCGACACAAGGTGGGGGTGGCTCCACTTTCTGGGCACTGGGGATTGAACTCAGGGGCACTCACCACTGAGCCCCACCCCCAGCCCTGTTCTGTATTTTATTTAGAGACAGGGCCTCACTGAGTTGCTCAGGGCCTCACTTTTGCAGAGGCTGGCCTTGAACTCAATCCTCGTGCCTCAGCCTCCCAAGGCACTGGGATGCCAGGCGGGCGCCACTGTGACTTCCCATGCCTTCTTCAGGGTTCCCGTTTACTGCCAATGATGAAATCTTTGCTGCCACAACCCGAATCGAACCTATTTGGAGGTTTTCTGTGTCCATCATTGAAGAATCATGATGGGTCTCCTCCTTGATAAAAATGGTTTTTTGTGACATCAACGCTCTATAAATTTTTAACAGGGCGCTCGCGAGGTAGTTTCCGCTTTATTTTCCTCCACAGACATTTTCTGCTGACCGTCTATTTATGTCCATGTTTATTGTCTGTGTCCCCAGCTAGCACATTCCCCACTGAAAAGCAGCAGCGTCCCCTGCCTGTCCCCACCCGATCCCTGTGGGAACAGCACCTGGGAGGCGTTCGGCAGATACTGGTTGCGTGGAGACGTCTGGTGGCACCGAAGAGAAGCTCGCAGAAACGCACGGGTGCCAGGCCCAGGAAGGCCGTGTGCGTCTGTCCCCGACACCCACGATGGCTTTTCCCTGTGGACCAGGCCGGGAGCTCAGGCCTGTTTACTGACCGCCACATGAGTGACAGTCACCACGGATGAGCTCACCACCCTCACTGTGGGTAGCACGTGTTGGGAACTCAGTTGTGATCCCCCTAAAATCCAGATGCTGGAGTCCCAAGTCCCCAAGGCTGCAGACTGTGAGGTACGCGTGGACAGGGCCATCTGAAATGACTCCATGTAAATGAGGCCATTGGGTGGCCCTGGTCCAACCTGACCCGCAGGAGGAGACACGGACACACGGAGGGGCACTGGGGGTACGAGGACACGGAGGAGAGGCCCTGTGGGGACAGCAAGAGGGCACTGTCTGCCAGCCATGCAGAGGGGCCCCCAGGGAACCACGTCCCCAGCACCCACACTTCAGACCCTCAGACCCGAGAACAGACCCTGCGGCCCAGCCCCCAGGCCGCCGCGTCCCTAGGGATTTCTCCCTCCTGAAGACCAGGCGGCCTAGGAACCTCTTCTCCAAGATGGGGAACTGCCCCACGAAGGCAGTGACCTCTCCAGGCTCCAAGACCCTGGGGGTTCCACCATAGGGAGCCTGGGGCCCTGTGCACGAGCCACCAATTCTCCATGCTGACCCGAGTGTCAGTGGGCGGGGGGCACCAGGGCCTCTGACCCTCCACATGTGCTGCCCCCCCCCTCGTGGTCCAGCTGTCTCCGGCCAGCTGGGGCTCCCTGTGACTGGCAGGCTGGTGCGGACACTCCCCAGGGCACTTGCCTGTGAACCCATGGATAGGGGAACACACCTGTGACGGCAAAATACGTCCACCCCTGTCCCCGTGCACCCCCCGTCCCCCAGCCCCTTCAGGACACGTGCCCCCACTGGCTGTCAGGAGACCCCCACGGAGGAGAGATGGTATAGAAGGACTCAGGGAGAGGACGGCCACCTGCAGCCCAGGAGAGGGGCCGCCCAAACCTGTGGAGGAGCCGGCCGCGCCAACACCTTGATCTCAGAGGCAACCATCTGTGTCGAGGCCACTCGCTCTGCTGCCCTCCCACAGTGGGGCTGCGACTGGCCACGTCAGCAGGGTCTTGGGGTGGAGTGCGTCTGGGCAGGACGGGCGTCCACGCTGGAGGGAATTGGACAGAGGCGGCGCCGGCTGTCCAGACGAGCAGCATGCCCCCCAGGTCCCTCTGTGGGAAGGGACTCAGCAGTGCGTCTGTCCTTGAGGGCTCTGTAGAACTGCAGCAGACACCACAGGAAGTGTCAGCGGAGCAGCAGCACATAGAGATGACCAGCCACCCCACAGACAGCTTCAGGGTCATGAAGAGTCGATGCTTAGACAGCTGAACCCAAGCCACACGGCCGGACGATGTGCCCGGGTGTGCTTCACGGTCTGTGTGTGCATTATGGATGTGTGTGCAGGGTGCACATCTGTGCAGCTGTGGGGACGGTGGGGTGTGGACGTTCTCCCACTCTCAGGGGTCGATGGCATGTGCATGGGCAGGGACGGTGCGTGCCGGTGTCGTGAGCACTCAGGGTGCCTGGGCTCACCACCAGATCATTTGCTCCTGAGAGCTCCTTGAGCCCTTGCTCTCTCACAAACACGTCAGCAGAGGGACAGACAAAGGGACAGAGCCGGCCCGCGGGGGTGGGGGACGGGAACAGAGAACAGCCTGGATTTCAGCTTGATGATCAGGGAAGACTTCCCGGAGGAGGGGGCACTTAAGCCAACGTGGCCAGGAGGGAGGAGGAGGAAGGCCACTGCAGGGGGACAGGAAGGGGAGACACTGGGGACACTGTGGGGCCGTCCCATTCTTTGGAGTCCTTATGTCCCCAGGTACACCCAAGAGCCCCTGGAGTCCCAGGTGGCGTGGTCACAGAACAGAGAGGCCCAGATACCAAGGAAGACGACTTTATTTTGTACAGACCAAGCACACGGGCGCCCCGAGCCCCCAGCGGGAACTGCCTCCCTGGGTCCTTCTCGCCTCTCGGGGGTGGCTGTGTGGGCGGCTCCGGACCCGGGGCCCCGTGAGGCCTGGCCAGTCTCTGTCTCCAGGTGGCTGTGCAGCTGGGGAGACTTCGAGGATCGCATCTCCAGAAGCTGGGGGCAAACGCAGGTCAGAGCTGGTGAGAGGTGACGGGGTGCAGGGGGGGCTTGATGGGGGGCTGGCGTTCTGTGTTCCCAGGGGGTCACTCTAGAGCCTGCCCCGGGGTGGGAAGGAGCCGCAGAGGGATCAACTGGAGAAACAGCCCGGGCAGGTTTTCTAAAGGACCTGCTCTAGATTGGCTCAATATCAAGATGCACGGGTCTCCAGGAAGGCCCGCGGGTCAGGCCTCCATTCCCAGCCAGATGCTACTGGGGGCGGGGAAACTCCAAGAGGCGGGCACCATGTGTGGGGGAGGGTCCTCTGGTCCTTGGGGGGGCCCTTGGCAGCGATTATGGTGAGAGGCTTTGCCATGTGTTCCCAGCAGGAAGTACTGTCTTGCCACAGGCCTCAAAAGCAACAGAACCCACCCATCATGGACTGGAATCTGCAAACTGTGAGGCCAAACCAACCTTTTCTCTTTATAAGATGATTACATTAGGTATTTGTTACAGTAACGGAAAGCTAACGAATACAGGACCACATTTCCAAGTGCAAGGTCACCTGGCAATTATGGCATCTGCTGGGTGCCAGGCTCTGTGCTAGGGGTCGCCTGTATTCTTGTTAAACCTTCAATGTCACTTGAAGTCATTAGCATTATTATCCCCATGTTCCAGCCCAGGGCATGATGGCACCCCTTGCCCAAGTTCTTGTGACTAGTTGCAGGAAGAACTAAAACTGGGCTCCAGTTTGCTTCCAAAGTCCATCAGCCGTGAGGAGAGGGGCCGCACCGTGGAGTTCAGAACTCCAGTGTGGAAACCAAGGACATCTTTAGGCAGGTGCTGTGCTCCTAGGGTGAGCATCTCTGCAAAAGCACCTTGCTTGGGGGAAGGAAGGGGACTCGAGATCTTACAAAACCATAAAAAACGGCAGAGATAAGATCTTCTTGGGCCATTTCTGCCAAGGACCATTCCCTGGATGGACACGTGCCCTTTACTTGGCCTTTGAAATGGCTTCCTATGTCCCCAGGAGCATAATAATGTAAATGAATATCAGATCTTCACTTGGTGATTGAGAGCAGAGAGGAGGCCATGTGGAGTCAAATTAATTTGCTCTGATGGAGTCCAAGCGTGTCCCCACGGAGGGGGCAATGGCTTTTTGATGGGCCGAGGTGTGCAAACGGGCGGGGTGGCAGCTGGTGGGGATCAGAGCAGCCTGGGCCTGGGGCAGGGTGCACACGTGCTGTTGGAGCCCTGAAGTTTTGTGAATATCCTGAGCTTCAGGGACTGGGGGTTGGCGGAGGCTGTGGCTCTAGGCCAGCTCCCAGCTCACAGATGCAGACACCTGGATGGCGCATCTAAGGGGACATATTAGACGCAGGAGAGGAGTCCACCCGGGTGATGGTGCAGCAGTGACCTAACCTCTCTGACCCTCGAATGTCCACCTGCCGCTCCCCCACCTTGGACTTCAGTGTCCCTCTATGTGATGCAGTAGTTGGGCTCCACCCTTCCGGGGTGGGGACCATTTGTCCCCAGGAATGGAGAGGGGGCCCTAGATCCTCCCCACCCCCAGGTGCAAAGAGTTCAATGACCTCAGCTGGGGAGCCTTGAAACCTCGGGCTCCTCCTTCAGGATCCCCCCACGGGACCCCCTGGCCTCCTGCTGCATCTGCATTTATCTTGCAAGGGGACCATAGGTGGCCCCTGCAGAGGGCGTCTGCTTTGCAACCCGCAAGACATTATTTTGGCTAAAACCACCACAATCCTGGGAGCCATGGGTCACGGAATTAAAGGCAGAAACACCACTGGCTTTCTGCAAGGCTCACGGGGGCCACCCGCGGCTCCACGGCCCACCTGCCACCTTACCTGCAGGGGCCCTACTTCTGCAGGTATTTCTTCATTATGCTCTCCACGTCTTCTTTCCTCTCTGCACCTGGCTCTCTGTTCTCGGGGGACATTTGTTCTCCACCGTCGCCCTCGAGTCGAGGGGCTCTCGGCCGACTCTTGATGCTGTCGGCACTTTTGAAGGACACAATGGAACTGGAGGATGAAGACGAGTCCGAGAGGTGTGCGGGGTCCTCCTTGGACTCTGGGCTCTTTTTCAAAATGGTTTTGATGCCCGAGACAAAGGGGCGGTCAGCCTTTTCCATCTCAAGATGGACACTCGAGTGCTTCGAACCTTTGTGCCCATCTTTGGCTGCTCCGGCCAAGGATGGAGGGGTCTCGGGCTTCCGGATGGCAGGGAGGAAGTCATCGAAGTCCACGCTGGGCTTGCGTCTGATGTCCAGGCTGGGGCGCGTCCAGCTGAACGGGTCGCTGTCCACAGGCTCCTCCATCAGGTGGGCAAACTGACGGTTCTGGAAGACCAGCGGCTCCTTCCCGAGGTCTGGGCAGCCTGCGTCATCCACCGAGGACTCCAGACACCTCCTCCGAGGTCGCAGCGTGGGTGACAAGAGCGTGTCCCTGGGCAGGGTCGGGGGGCTCGGTTTTCTCCCCAGGGTGGGTCCCGATTCCAAGAGGGACTCGCATGAACTGAACCGGGTCTTGAGCTTCTCGGGCAGCTGGGTGGTGCCCTCAGCGCCCTCGGAGGAGATGCATTTCAGGCTGGTGGAGCGCAGCAGACCAGCTGATGTCCCCGCGGCCCCCTCTTCTTCCAGGGGTGACCTTGCCCGTGACCTCAGGAACAGCTCTCCCTCGTCGCTGCTGGCCCTGCCCCTCCTGAGCGTGGAGGCGCCGGTGGTCTGGTAAATGGGGAGGGTGGGCCAGTCCTCCAGGCCCAGAGGGGACCCTTGTCCTCTCTGGGCCCTTTTCTTGCGAAGCCCTTCCACGAACTCCGAGAGGGCCGCCGACGGGCTGGGCAGCTTCTCCCGGGGCAGCGGGGACGCATCTGGACTCCGAGAAGCCAGGGGGAAAGGCAGAGCCCCCGACCTCTCCATGGGCTTCCTGTGGACACCAAACCTGTCCCCATCCTCAAAGTGGCAGGACTTCTGTGGGCGGGAGGAGCGCGGGGACACATCGCCTTCTCTGGAGGTCTTCCTGCCGCCGTCCCAGGCTCTGCTGAGCGCCGACGCCGGCCGCGTCCCCCCAGCATCTCTGGCCTCTTTGTTCGCCCTGGGACAAGAAGAAAAATGCCGTCGGTAGAAATTGTGCAATTCATACAATTTGTGCAATTGCTGCGAGGGCCGCTCAGGGCGGGCACTAATATTATTTTTTCTTTGGCAAAAGCCGTCTCCACCTCACTCTCAAATGAACCGTGTGATTTAATGTGCAAATTCAAGCCATGTCAATGATTTCTTGTTGCTTTCTGAAATGCAATTTCTGACTATAATTAAGCCCAGCTAAGTACATTGGAGTCGACTGGAACTGCGGCGGGGACGGGTGACTTAGATTCATGAGGCATCCTATCTGACACGAAGGGACCCATCATCCCAGAGCCGACTGTGAAATCAGCAATTTGCTTCTCCAAGAGTGGAGGGGGACAGGCGGGGGGCCAAGCCCAGGACGGTCCCACCAATGAGGCTTCGGAGCATCAGGGACCCCAGAGTGTGTCTCAGGGGCACGTTCCCTGATTATTTCATGGACGGGGGGGGGGGGGACCCACCCAAAAGGACAGAGTCACATGAAATCATCTTGAAACCGACTCTACACTCAAGGGGACAGGCGGGAGCTAATCTGGGCCAACAGCAACCTCGGCTTTTATGCAGAGGGACAGAGCCCCAGCTGAGTCCAAAACACACTGCTCCCCAAAAGTAGGAGCTGGCGGCAGGGTGGAACTGCAGACTGTTACATGGAAGGGCATGGCCGGGTGCGGTGGCACAGGCCTGTCATGCCAGCAGCTCCGGAGGCTGAGGCAGGAGGATGGTGAGTTCAAGGCCAGCCTCAGTAATTTAGAGAGGCCCTAAGCCACTTAGTGAGACCCCATCTCTAATTAAAACATAAAAAGGGCTGGGGATGTGGCTCAGGGTGGAGCACCCCTCGGTTCAATCCCTGGGGCAAAAAAAAAAAAGCAATAATAAATAAATCTGTGTCCTCCTCTAAGAGAGACCACCTCCTCCCTGCCCACCGCCCTCAAGCAGAGGGGAACACCAAATGTCGCCTTTGCCAACGCAGAGAAAGCCACAGGCACGGGTCCCTAGAGCAGCCTCTCCAAGGACCAGGCGCGAGGCTCAGAGCTGTGCGGCTCCAACTGTGGCAACAGACAGGGACAGGGCCAGCCTGTGACACACCAAGGGTGGCTCGGATCTCGGCAAGGCTCGGAGGAAGCCCCTGGAGGTCATGGCCTAGAGGGGACCCAAGGGCCCAGACATCCTGGGGGTCATTCCAGGGGAAGGGGTGGGGACTCTGGTGGAGGGAATGTTTTCACTCCCTGAATTCTCACGTTGAGACCCAATCCCCAAGGTGGTCCTGGTGGCAGGTGGGGCCTCTGGGGTGCGATACTAGGTCCCCAAGCGAGGGTCCTGCTCTCATGATGGGTCAGCGCCCTGACTGGCCCCAGAGAGCTCCCCTGCCCGCTCCTCCTGTGGGCACCCGGCACCGAGTCTGCGGGCTCCTCCTCCTTGGATTTCTCAGCCTCTGGGACTGGGGGGAATAACTTTGTGTTGTTGATAAGCCAGGCGGCCCATGGACCAAGACAGGCACCGGCCACTGCCTTCCTGGATCCAGAGGCCAGACGCCACCATCCCACAAGCCCCTCTCTTCTGGGGCGGGAGGGGGCTCCCTGGGCCTAGAACCTGTGGGGGGCACCACAGCCACCGCGGGTCCTGTTGAAGGTTCCACGGGACGGGCGGTGGGCTGGTGTGCTCATGCGATCCCTGGGGAGGTGGTGGACGAGGGTCCATCCCACAGCCCGGGCAAAGAGGGGCCCTCGGGCGTGGGTGGAGCAGATGAGCTGCCTCCTCTCCTTGTCCGTCCCTCTCCCCTGAGGTCGGGCTCCTTCCTCCTCCTGGCCTGCAGTCTGGTGACCCCCCCTTGTGCACTCTGCTTGCTGTGTGGGGACAATTCAAGTCCTTCCTGCCTCCAGGCTTTGTGCTGGCTGTCCCCTGGCCTAAACAGCCCTTCCGCCACCTTTATGCACCCCGTGGGGCAGGCAGAGTGGTGAGAAGCCCTCAGGCAGTGCCCGGCCCGTCCAAGGGGTGAAGAGCTGCGAGGAGCAATTCAGAACCCACGGGAACAGTCATGGGTCACACCCATCAACACTGAAGGTGGCCACGATGGCAGCTGCTCCCTGAATCTGCAGCGCCCGCCCCATCCCTGGGCCCAAGGAAGTCCACAGAGGGACACGCAGGAGGATGGACAGGCAGGCTACCATGCCTGTCCCCCCCATCACTTCCTCCCCCACCAGCTAAAAGCAGAGCCACACAACTTGCCCGAAGCCTCTGTCTCTTCTCCTAAGCCCTCCTGTCACTTTCTGTCCCCATCACAGCTGGACACGGGCTGAGAGAGGGCTCCTTCATAATTACCCCGGCTGTGTTTGTCACCGTCAGCACTTCGGAACGCCCCCCCCCCCAGCAAGGTGCCATTCACACTCCTTTATTTACTTGGATTCTTTGTCTTTTTTAATAAACAGCTTGGAGCTGCCGACCGGGCCTGCTGCAGAACTGACAAAAGACATTTCCTCCTGTCTAGGTCCTGAAAGGAGGTGGGTGTGATGAATGTGAGGTGTCTTGGGTGCTCTTCCCATCCATCACCTGCCACCTGGGGGTGACGGCACCAAGGCTGCCTGTCGCGGAGTCTCCAGGGACTCTGCTACCTGTGTGCCTCAGGTCCCACTGCCACTGTTGGCTGCAGATGCCAGGGCAGGGCATGAGAGAGAGGGGCAAGACAAGCTGGAAGAGGGGGAGGGGGAGGGGGAGGGGAGGAGGGGGAGGAGGGAGGATGGGGGTGGAGGGGGAGGGAGGATGGGGGGGAGGGGGAGGGAGGATGGGGAGGGGGAGGGGGAGGGGGAGGAGAGGGGGAGGGGAGGAGGGGGAGAGGAGGAGGGGGGAGGGGGAGGGAGGATGGGGGGAGGGGGAGGGGGAGGGGAGGAGGGGGAGGAGGGAGGATGGGGTGGAGGGGGAGGGAGGATGGGGGAGGGGGAGGGGGAGGAGAGGGGGGAGGAGGGGAAGGGGGGAGGAGGGGGGGAGGAGGGGAAGGAGGATGAACAGGAGGAAGAGGGGAGGAGGAGGAGGAAGGGGAGGAACATGAGGAGGAGGAGCAGGGGAGGGGGAAGAGGAGGAGGAGGGGGAGGAGGAGGAGATGATATGGGAACAGATACTGGAAGCGCCATTCCAGGGGACAGGCCGGGCCAGGATGATGAGGTTGGCTGCAGACAAGGCTGGGTCTGAATCCCAGTCCTTCCCTTCCCAGCCTTGTAGCACGTAGGCCTCCCCTGGCTCGGTGGCTGGAGTGGCCATGGTGGTGACTTAGCTTACAGGGCTCTGTGAGGAATTAGGAAAGTGTCCCTGGCGAATTCCGCATCCCGAGTGTGGCTGTTCTTGCTCCATCTGCCCCAGGTCCCCAAGCAAAGCAAAGGACACGGCTGTCCAGGTGCTCATGCACTCGGGCCCTTGAGGCTGGTTCTGCATCCGTGGGTTCAATCAACAGACCGGACGTGTTTGAAAAATGCAGCATCTGAACACAGGCCGACTTTGTATGGTCACGATGTCCTAAAACACAGTGTCTCGACCATTCACACATTTACACTGTGAGGTTTCATAAGAGATCTAGACATGATGTACGGCACACGGGACGATGAGTGTGCCTTATGATAGGCACCATGCTGGGTTTTGGGGTCTTTTTGGCAGGGGGCACCAGGGGCCCTCGACCACGGAGCCCCATCCCCAGCCCTATTCTGTATTTTATTTAGAGACAGGATTTCATGAGTTGCTTAGGGCCTCGCTGTTGCTGAGGCTGGCTTTGAACTTGCGATCCTCCTGCCTCAGCCTCTCTAGTCACTGGGATGACAGGTGTGTGCCACCACGCCCGGCATATTTTAAAAATCTGAAGACTTGTTTTTCTTTGCTGACTCCTGCCATCAAGGCCAGAGAGTGGAGTCAGAAGTGGCTGCTTCACTTGCAAGCAAGCCAGCTGCTGGGACAGTGTCCCCTGCCCGGACCCCACCCGTCCCTGCCAGGTTACCCTGTGAAGCATCTGCTTGGTTTTTGTCTGCAGTGCTCAACCCAAGTCGCCCGGGGGCTGAGGAATGGAAAGGACACGTCTGCATGTGTTTCTTACAGGTCACTGGTCAAGGTCAGGTCACTGCCCACCCTGCACATGTGGAAGCTGAGGCTCCCTGGACAGCAGCCCGCTGCTGAGCGGCAGAGCCTGGATTTGGAGGCCGTGAGTCCGCGGGAAGTTCCTCCCTCCCTCCTCTGCTGCAGCCATGCGCCCAGGCGGAAGGCGGGCAGGAGCGACCCTGGTTGAATTTACATCAACATAATTTATGTGTTTTTCAAGATCCACGAGATGCGCTGAACAACACGGTGAAGTCCAAGCTAAGGCGACGCTGGATTCACAGGCGTTAGACATAATCACAGAGCAAAAGAGTGATTCCCAGGTCTGAGCCTCGTCAGAGGCTGGGCCAGCCGCCACCACAGGAAACCCGATGCAGATTTAATGACACCATGCATCGTCCCCAAAGGTGGGCTGTCACCCCACGGCCTCATCCACACCCTGAAATTATAGAGGAGATTAAAAATGTATTCATGCGCTTTAATCCTGGCAAAGCCCAGGATGGGACAGCAGATGTCCTTTTAAGATGGCCCGAGGAGCTGACACGTGCCCATACTATGTACCAGGCAGAGCGAGAAGCTGCTGTTAAGCCCCTGGGTTGACACCGTGAATCCAGGTGATGAGCCGACATGAACTGTTCCTTTTGGCTTTGTGGACACCACTGGATTTTATCTTCACCATGATCCTCTGAAGCAGCCCCTAGGTCCTCTCCCCATGTTGAGAGCCACAGCCGAAGGGGCCCCAGCAAACTTCCAGCTGCTGGCTGATGATTGGCTCACAGCGGCCCCAGCAACATCTAGCTGATTGGCTCCTCGGCCCCAGCAACATCTAGCTGATTGGCTCCTCTGCGGTGATGCTCATTGGACTGTTTCCCTGCCCTTTCAGACCACGGAGCTGCTCAT